CCATGCGGCAAAACCGTGCCAGGGTTGCAATTTAGGCTCCGCCCCCGACTCCGCCCACTTTTCTCCGGAGTTTTTTCCCCGGAGTTTTTTTTCCCCGGAATTTCCGGGGTCAATACGAGCGAGTGTTTTTTCATCGGCGTTCAGTCATCGTTTTCCTAAATATTTATGTCCTTATTTCAACCTTCGAAGCTGTTCTCAATTGTTCAATTTTTTTTCATTTGAGCATGCTCAAAGGACTGCTCTCACTTGTGACACCAAACAGCAAAGACAAGAAAAGGAAGAGGTCATCGGCAGGGCTTTCAGTCCGAACAGCGCCTGTGGCGGAAACGTCGTTCTTCTCTGACGCCGATGTATCGAATCTGAATGAAACGAGCGTAACGCTTCCGTTGGGTGTAAGTTCCTTATTTTTTGAAAGCGATTAATGGCAGTGAGAGAAACTGAATTTCTGGCAAAATAATTTTTGTTTTGAATACTTATTATCATAAAATATATGATTTAGGAAGGACTGGCGAACACATCAATGATTTCCACAGAACGATTACTTGCGGACATGTCGTTCAGTCGTGCTGAACGGAAAAGCCGAACGACTTCATTCGACTTCTGTCTAACCGATTATCCGAAAGGTTTGTATTATTACCAAATCTTTGAACTTGCCGGTTGTGCCAGAAAGAGTGGAATCAATGCAATAGTTCGAATTTCAGATGTTGTTGTTCACCGTCGAAGCCTTCAGCCAACGACACCAACACCAAACGCGTCTGACGCCGAACACTCTTTCATCGAAAATATTTTCGAGTAAATTACTGGCTCATTTTCATCTTAAAACTATTAATTGTAGCTCTCCTGGTCAACGAAACCGTATGCATTCGATGATCGGTGAGAAAATCTATGAAGCTGGAAACGGATCGCCTCAGAAGGACTTGCAAACAGTCAGTAAAAAGTTGTGATTAGTCATTGTATTAGTTAACGGTGGTTTATGATAGTTTTAGAATTTTCCTGGAAATGTGTGAAAATGTGCTATGAATATGCGTACATTCTGACACATTTTTAGCAAGAATTTAAATTCTGCATACGCCACCATCAAATTTTGAATTCGATTTTTTGTAGTAATAAGGAATAAATTATATAATAAATAGCATTTGCATCAAAATTTTATTCCAAATTAGCTTAAAACTTAAGCATCAGGATCAACAACTTTCCTTGGAGGTTTTGGAGTTCCAACTGTTTGGAAGTCAAAGTCGCCATCAGAAGGAATATTCGAAGGTGCAAGAGCGGTATCCGGAGCGTGAGCAGCATCGATTTTAACGGTAGCATACAGAGCAGGTCCGGCTCCACCAACTGGGAAGGGAGTGTTTGGAGGTGTTGGGCTTCTAATCCAGAATGTCGTGCTAGACTCAATTTTATCACCGCCATCAGACTCATCCATAGCGACAGGAACTTCTTCTCCTCTAAGGAATGTTCCTTCTGGCTTTGTCGGAATTGGAGTGGGAGGTGTGGTTGTCGTTGATGGAGTTGTGGTAGTAGACAAGCTGGGCGGAATTTTGGTAGTAGTAGTTGTTGAGGTGGAAGTCGATGTGGATGTTGAAGTGGATGTTGTCGTCGGTGGAGAAGATTGTGTTGCAGGATGAGTTGGAGTTGTAGAAGGAGTTGTTGTTGCAATTGTCGACGAAATTGCCGTTGACGAAGGAGTGGTTGCCGCATGCGTCGTGGATGCAGCAGTTGGTTTTGGCTTACATTTACAAGGACATCTGCACTTGAACTTGAACCCTTCTGGTTCTTGTGGGAAATCTTCTGGCCAGTCTCCTTCACATCCTTCCGAATGGCCACCACCACCACCACCTGAAGCTAGGAAAAATGAAAACTTGACGTTTCCCTGAGTTCCCTGAATAGTCTTATCAAAAGCAAAGCAGAATTCACAAACCTCCAAACCATCCCATGGCAGAAGCCGTTGCAACCGTTGCAATTAGAAAAATCAAAAGACGCGTTGAACCGATCATCTTCAGTGCTAGAACAAAAACTTCGGATAGTTCAATAGTTTTATATAGGAAGTGTCACCCCTCGAAACCTCTAAAAATGTTTAATGTTCAAGCGCTTTGCATCCATTTTTATTATGCATTTTGTAGGTAGCAAAGTTTTGCGGATGGTTTTCAAAGAAGAGCCAAGAAATTATTTATTTTCCGAAAAAATTTCTGAGAAACCAGTTATGCATCCGGATCAACTACTTTTCTTGGTGCTTTCGGTGTTTCAACAGGTTTGATTTCAAAATCGTCATCGGATGACATCGCGAACGGATCAAGGGCCTTATCTGGAGCATGTGGAGCAAGAATCTTGACAGTGTGAGCTTGTGGTGGTCCAAGAGTGTATGCAGCTCCTCCACGAACAACTGGAGCTGGCGTATTCGGAGGAGTGGGACTTCTGATCCAGAATGTTGTACCAGTTGGTTTATCAGCAGGCTTGGCTGTTGTCGTTGGAACCGTCGGCTTCAACGTGGAAGTTGAAGTTGGTTTGACGGTGGTTGTGGTAGGAGCATGTGTAGTTGTTGGTTCTTTTGTCACAACATCCACAATATCCCTTTGAATTTGTTGAGCTGGAGCAGCTGGTGGAAGAGTAACTAATCCAAATTGTCTATTCTTGCACTTGTAATCAAATCCAGCCGGATGTTGTGGGAATCTTGCCGGCCAATCACCTTTTTGAGGTTGTGGTGTACGTTTTGCCTGGCCAACTGAAACTATTTTGTTCCCATTTTTTTTTCATGCTTCAACAAACCTCCAAGTATCAATGCCATGGCATTCGCCATTGAAATGGTAGCCAATAAGAAGATCAGAAGACGCATACTCTCCTGGTTTCTGGTTTCTGTAAAATGGATAGAAATCAGAATGCTGAAAGATGCTCATCGTCGTTTTATACTCCAGATTTTATTGTGTGGTACATCAACTTTTACAGATACATTTCTCTTTCCTCTATTCGGTTTTATGATGGTTTCTATGAAGAAAAACAGAAAAGCTGTGACGGTTAGGAATCGATCGCTTCCGGTGGAGAAGAGAAGGTTGTAAAAAAGTTATCGGACGGAATCCAAGAGTTTCGGAGAAACAGTTCATACAAGATAGAAGGATTCGGCTGTTGGGGGATTCTAAAAGTTTTCTACCGTAGATCCTCTAATAGAAGCCCATCTTATACGTGCACTTTGAGCTCAGTTATCTCGGTTCTTTTCCTCCAATAACAACCCACCCAAACCGTTAACTGTGAGTTGAATTAACTCGATTTCTATGAAAAATATCAAGAAGTGGTCATCTGATAAAATGTTTATCATAATATTAACAACATTTTATCAGTTTACTGAATTTTGATATAATTATGACAAACGAGATAATTTAGCTCAATTGCACGTATAGTGTGGGCTTCTATTAGAGCATTTACGGTGTATATCTATGGATCCTCCAAATATGGAAAATGTGACTAACAAGACACAGTTCTTGATGATTTTTTTTGTTTGGCACTTTTTATAGACGTCTATGGTTTCCAGTTTTTGCATAGCATTTTTTTCTTTTCAGCCAATCAATACTTTCAAAATATTTGAAATTATAAATACTGAACACTTCCGAATTGAAGTATACGATTCTTATTTTTTTATGATTCGTTATAACAATTTTTGTATTTTTCAGCGAAAACCTAATAAAACAACAAGATTAAATAGATAAAATGTAGTATGGCACTAGAAATTTGCTGAAATGTGCAGTTTTCTGATTTAATAGAAGGTTTCCTAATTACAAACTTTGCACCAATTCTTCTCGGTTTCAGTCAAATTTATGGAAAAAGTTGTCAACTGATAAAATGTTTATCATTATATCAAAAATGTTTTGTCAGTTGACACATTTTTGATATCTTTCACAGGAACTGAGATAAATTGACCCTAGTGTACAATTTAGGGTTCCCTTCTATTACAGGTCTTACGGTATCCATCTCTTCTATACGAATCCACACGCATTCCCTGTAACATTTCGCTCCCTACCTCGTCTTCGCCCACTTCATAGTTTTTTCATCCCAAGAAACTGAAGATCATTCGTTCGATAACCCGTTTGTCTTGTCGTTCGCAACATCCTTAAGAACATTCTATTTACTTTCCACTTGTTTCGTCTGTTGACCATTGCCATTTTTCCTTATTTGAATCAACACATAGTTAACCGGAGTATGTGCGCGTCTGGATTAAATGTTAATGTCAAACCGAAAAAATATCACATTCTTTTCGGAGAGAAATTTACTTGAATAGAGAAAAAACCGAAAAAACAGGCCAGGCCCTGCTGGGATCAGCCACTGTATGACTTATAACTTTGTGCATAAACATGACACTGTTTTAAATTTCATCATTTTGTAGTAGTGACCGAGTTATGCTATATCTAATTTAGATGATCCAAAAAATCAGTTCTAGAATGAACTATGGTGGGACCCGCAAAAACCCGCCAGGACGATGTCCTGCAAACCATACTTGTAATATTCCGGGACGGGTCTCAGGAAATTTTCAAGGCCCGGGCCGGCCCGGTAGGCCCGGTTTCAAAAATTCTGTATTTTCAGGTCCCCCTTATGTGTTTTTTGCGATTTTCTGTACTTGTGAAATGACGGGCCGGGGCTTTGAAAATCAGAAAAAAAGGCAGGCCCGGCCAGCTACAAGCATACTGCATACTGCACAAAAGTAACATACAAAACTATTAGTGAAAGGGCGAATGACAAAAACTGAGTTATCAGCCTTTCTTTTTTGTGTGTCGCTGTGAAATGAACTTTTTCCTACCTTTTTTTCGATGCTGTGCAGATACCACTACAGTAAGGTTATGAAGTTTTGAGCTAATTTTGACTATATTTTTGGCACTTTTCAAAAACCCGAAACCGGGGTTCACTTGAATCATTCAATCTGAACTGAATGTTTCGGTTATAGCTGATTTCTGCTGATCGAAATTTCTCCATAAAATTTTTTTGAGGGGAAATTTTTTTTAGGCAAGGGGGACCCTTATGAGATTTTGACCTAATGATAATTCGAAATATTTCCTACTGATATTTCGTTTGCCAAAATTTCAGTCCCAGGGTCTGAGCAAAATCTGTTTGTCTGTACTTTTCTTGTTCCAATTTCGCATTTCTTGATAATCCAAATTGAAACGACAAAACCATTTAGTGTTTTCACTGTCCAATTTCTCACTTTCCGATAACGCCGTCTGATGCTGATCACTATGAAAACCAAGACAGGAATCTTGTCTAGACGAATTCTGATATCCTAAAGAAACAATAGCTTCTGCTCAAGACCACAGACATATTTCGTCTATTATCGTCACCAAAGTACGACTTCTTAATGTCTTTTTCTGTCTAGACAGCTGTCTTGTTTGACCCCTCCCCCCCCCCTCCCTATCTCTCCCATTATGTTTTCCTGGGGGATTTTCGATATCTTGGTCATAGCCCGGATCACATCAAAAATGAAAATTCTAGAACAAATAAAGCTTCCGGTTGATGTTAAAAATAAATGAAAAGGGATTGCTCATCATCTCAAAATGCGCCATCGCGGGTGGGAATCTGAAAAACGCGCGCTTCGTCGCACACAAAAGTTGGCTGCGTGCCAGATTCGAAAATTTTGAAACGTGTTAAAAAAAACGTGAAGTTAAACGTTGTTGAGTCGCTACTCATCGAAAAGCCGCGACGCGACCGCGCTACGCGTCCAAACTTGGCGCGCTTTCCAATTTTTAAATCTAGGTTCCCTTCCGCGAGGCCGTAAATGCGTCACTTAATTAAAATTCCCTTTAGAGCTCAAATCTTCGAAAATCGGATCATATGCAACAGATTCCTGGAGCCGCGTGATTTCTGACAATCAAGTCTAATTCATGTTTTAAATGAAAAAGAAGCTTATCGGATTATGGAAAATGTCGTCGAAATGTTTTTATTTAAATTGAATTAAAAGATTCCAAAAAAGAATTCTGAAAAAAAAGTTTATGAAAAGGATTAGGTCAGGAAAAAAATTTTTGAGCCGCTGGATTATGGTAGTTTTTAGAAATTGCAATTAAATTCCAGTGTTTCCGTTTGAGTAGTCAATCAGTTGAAATTAAGGAAACTTGATCATTCCACCTCGGTTTTGGTCCCCTTTTTGAATTTTCTTTCATTTTAACCCCTTTCTTTGTCCTTCTCGCCATAATTTCAGATTTTTCAAATTCTGTCCCTTCCCGCAATTTGCACACTAATTTTCCCTTTTTCCTTTTTCCGTTTATGAACCAAACCTCAATTTACTTTGGAAATGTGAAAAATGGGTTTTTAATTCTTCATTTCTTCTCGTTTCTAGCTTTGTAGTCTTACCAAATCGGTCAGTTGAATGCGTCAAAGTGCATACGTCTGAATGACAGGTGTCCTACCCGATCCCCAGTTTCTCATGCTTTGGGTATTTTTAAACGAACTGAAAAAAAAACGTCTCGAGACACTTCTCAACTCGTAAAGAGAAAAAGCCATTCCAGAATGAGAGTGAGGCGACGTATGTGTGTCTAGACAGACTTTGCTCATTCAAGATGGAGCAAAAAAGAGAGCAATGTGTGCTTACAGAGAGCGAGTCATTCTTTTCGGTTTAAAGTGTTCTTTGACGTCTAGAACGACACCATCTGATTCGAAATTCATTCTGAATTTCGGCGGAGAAAATTGGTGAAATATGTTCTTGAACGCCTCGGGGTACTGTATTTCCTAGCACAAATCAGCATGTTAAAACTTCAAAAGTTCCTAAATCTGTTTCAGATGACGGTCGATCAACGAGCCCGAGCTTGCTGCTTAATGTACTTATTAAGATAAGGATTCAAATAAGTGAGCGACTGAGAATTGAAGAGCAAACTGATGCTCACGATTCTTGTAAAAGTATGGAAATTTTTCAAAAGTGCCTGACTTCCTTAAAGATCACGGTAGATCCACGAGCTTTTACGGTAGATCCACGAGCTCTCAAGGTAGACCCACAAAGATTACGGTAGATCCTAAAACATTCAGCATTAGCTCTTGAAAATCTATAAAATCCTCCTCAACTTTCTGAAAATATTTTCAGATCCATTTCTCCTGTCGCTTTTGATCCTTCAGGCAACGATTCACCTTTACCTAACCTTTATCTTTCAAAACCCCAAGAATTTGATTCCCTCCGTTCCCTCTAAAATTTCGGTCCCCCAAATTTTCCTCCCTAAATTTTTCCTCAAATTTTTTCTCTGTTTTTCTCGAAAGCCTATCCCATTATGACCTTTGTTGGAAGGATACGGTAGCCAAAGTACTGGTGATCTCTGAATTTTTTTTGATTTTTCGAATTTCAGATAAACTAGCCCGTTGTTTGCAGTAAGAATGAACGACCCAAACCTTAAACACTTTAGTAGGACGCCTCCCAAACCGTCAACTTTGAAATTATACATCTCATTTCCTGTAAAAGATAAAAGTATTTTATCAGTTGACCACATTTTGATATATTCTACAGGAACCAAGATAAACTGGTTCAACGTTGAAAGGTAGGAGGTGGCGTTCTATTAGAAGGTTTACGGTAGGTGCCAGTTTCGGTAGGTGAGTTTTAGACTGGGCACCTTCAAACATTTAGCTCAAGATATCTCAATCTATGGCAATTGTTTCTCCTTCATTGTAGGTTCCAATTAGTCTTAGAATTTTCCAAATCTTGAATCTACCCATCTCCATTCCCCATCCCTGGTCTCCAATTTCATTTTCGAACGCCCTTGACCATTGAGACACGAACACATTTTATAGTTCATTCATTTGAAAAAGAACAGTTTCCTCCCTCCGTGTGAAACGAATCGATCTGAGACAAATAAAACGAATAAAATGAGAAGAAGAATGGAATGGAATGGCTGTCTAGACTTCGTCTTTCTCATCACTAAAGAACAAATCATTTCACCAGACGAGCGATAAATGGTACTTCCTCTCACATTTATACAAACAAGGAAGTGACAGAATTCAGAATTTGAACGTTCCGATCCCTTTTTGTACACCGGGTCTACAAAATATCTCTAATTAGAAAATCTCATTTACAGGTGATTTTTTTTTGGGTAAAGACTGAAAAACCAAAATGACATTAGCCGGTTGTTTGTGGTATCTAGACATGTCTGAAGTCAAAAAATTAATCTCTCAAAATGAAACCAAGGATTAAGAAGGTGTGAGGGGATTATTACTATCTGTTTGTTGTTTTTGTGCAAAGAAAAACGAATACCTTTGATGTCACGAACTCCGATCATTTATTGAGCCGAACAATCAAATGATATGCAATGATCTGTGAAAGTAATCAGTAATACTACAAAAAATTGAAATATTGTTGATTGTTTTTGTCATTTACCATGTGAAGCAGAACCTAAATACAGTGATCTTCGCTTTTTGCTTTCAAAGCAATTTTCTTTGAAAATTTCTAACGAATACGTGCGCAGGTGACAAACGACATAAACTTGACAGAAAAAAACTCAAACTAGCCTGGAATTATGATCATGACAAAATTATAAGATGTGGAGGTTATACCCACCGAGTTGGAGCTCCGAACCCGTGTTGTTTATCATTTCTGGAACATTTCAGGTTAATGAATCTACTGTAAAGCGTGTATTAGAGTGGCCCCAGCGCTCTCAAATTTGAGCCAATTTATGTCGATTCCTGTGAAAGGTATCAAAAATGTCTCAACTGATAGAATGTTTATCATAATATCAGAAATTTTTTGTCAGTTGACAACATTTTTATATTTTTGACCAGAACCGAGGTTAATCGGTCAAAGTTGAAAGTTAAGGGGGTGTTTTTATTACAGGCCTTACAGTAAACTAGAATATTATGTAATTTTTTCCCTCGATTTTTTGACTGTAGAACAAGCCACATACAAAAAATGCAATAAGAAATCGAAAGATGAAGTGCTGTGTGCTTGAAACTACGTCCATTTTAAATTTCGTCTTGTATTCTTGTATGTAGTTTGGTGTAAGCATTTTCTGTAATAGACTTTTCTGAGTAAAAACTGAAACACCGTAAAACTAATGAAAATCTAGGAGATTACACTTGGGTTCAAGCGAGAGGGGTCAGAAAGCGCGCCCCAGCAAACTCGTAGGCCAGAAGAAATTTAATAATTTTAAAGTGGACGCGGGTTTGATCTAGATCATGATCTATTTCTTTAAAATCAACTGATTGCGAGGCGCACTTTTTCGCTCTTCATTTAAAATTTTGAAACTCAGCCAACGAAATTCGGCAGCGAATTTAGAATTTTTCCTAAATTTACTTGAGCGCGCTTTCTGACCCCCTCGCTTGAACCCAAGTGAGATTACCGTAAACACTCTAATAGAGTGCCACCCAAATGGTCAACTTTGAGACTTTGAGCGCATTTATTTGATCGCATTTCATTTATTGTGAAAGATGTCAAAAAGAGGTCAATTTATAAAATGTTTATCATAATTTCAATCACTTTTTTTAGTTTCAGGCGACACTCTGCTAAAGTGTTTACGGTAAGCAATGCACATTTATTCTAGCTCATTTTTCTATGTCCCAAAGGTATCTTCCCGTGTTGCTAATTTCAAAAAATCCCAAGTTCAATCCTTAACGAACTCTCTTATAATTCGCCACTTTCAGCAATTCGAATCCCCTCAAGGAGAGAACTACGGTCACAGGGTCGTATTGGCGATGGGAATCACTTATATAGATTAGTTTATCTAGCTATAGTTGTAATAAGATGTGATTTTGTTCAGATCTTCCAATATCGTTCATTTTCCCTTTCAGATTTTACAGAGTGGCCATTTTTCCAGTTTTCACAGAATGCTCTCACACAAGAAAAATTATGGCCGAAGGTTTAAAATATCTCGATGATATAACATAATAATTTTTCCCTTCAAAATTTCGATAGAAAACTTGAAAAAAATTCAACAAGGTTCTTGAAATTGGCATTAATTAGCATAACTTTGTTTTCGAAATAATTCGTGTTTCTCGGATTTTTTCCTATGTTTACTTCGTAATAATCGGAAAACTTACCAACCAACATTTATTCCACCTGAAAAATATATCACCCCGCTTATTCCGAAGTAAAACAGAAAAGTCCTAATTTCCAGAAAAACCGGATTTTGTAAAAAAATTTACCTATTTCTTTACTAAAAATAAGTTGTATTTTAGTTAGCCATAATTTTTACATGGGAAAACAGTGAGAAGTTCTTTGAAAACAGGAAACATGATCAATATGATCGAAAAATTGATCAAGATCGGCGGTGAAAAAATTTGCTAAACAACGCGCACTAGCGTAATAGCGGAGTGTCGTTGGTGGGCTGCTGTTTTCATGGGAAAAGCGTGCATGCTATATGGATGCTATATGGGTGCGCCCACCGGCGACCAGCACCCAGCGCCGACGCATATAGCGCGCACGCGCTACCCACGGAATTATTATGGGTGCACATAGCATCCTATATGCGTGCCTAGACATATACCATGCGCAGCCGTTACCCTGTGGTAGCTGCAAATCAAGGGAAGAAAGCTCATTAGAAAGCACTCTTCTCCTAATTTTCGTTTCCCATTGTTCATCCGGAATGCCATTAGTTGAACTCTTTTTCGTCTGGACTTTGGCCCTTCTTCTTCTTTTCTCAAATTTTCTCTTCTTTTAGTTGATCCATTACATTGCAGACAGATCACTTTACACCTGAATGCATTTGGTTCGGAACATAGTTTCGTTATTTATTTTTAGTTTTAAATTAGATTTATTCAGATTCTGAATTTCAGAATCGAGAGACAACGGAAAGCGACAAGATGTATTTTCAAAATAGGGGAAAACTCGGGTCTGGCTAAATTTGAACCGAGATGAGAATGGAAATAAATAAATAGGAACAGGCAAAAAAATGAGAGATGAATCTACGAATCTATTCTAAAAATATTTATATACGCCGTAGTTCAAGGAGATTCCAGTAGTAGCAAAAAAATACAGCAGGACAGAATCGTTGCATAAGCGAAAATTTTGAAAAATGAAAGCAGAAGAAAAGGAAAAAAGTAGAAAGAGACAAGGGAGAAAGAGACAGTGTCATTTTTGGCGATTTTGTACAATAGAAAATCAATTGGGAAAGATCATTGGGATCCAGTGGATTCATATCCTCTGTTGATGTGAGCAGCGTGGATGATGGAAGTAGTGAAGTCTTGAACTGACATGGATCGTTCCTCAACTGGACAGTTCTCTTCGTTTTCTTTGCTTCCTTCGCTTTGATCGCTTTGATCACCGCTTCCCTCGCTTCCTCCGGAAATCTGAAAATTTGGAAATCAAGCCTCTTCTCAAAGGACCCTTGAACCTAAGTGGAGAGCTTCTCTCTCTCTCTCTCTCTCTCTCTCTCTTTCCCTTCTACTTGTCACATATCAATCAGGCATACATTCCAGTACGAGACAGACACACAAATTAGCGGAAGTAGTGTCTCAATCCACGTCTGAGCTCTTTCTGTTGTTATTATTATATCAAAACACAGACACCCGCTCCCAAAATGAGAGAAAACCAAGAGATCATGTAATCGAAAATCATTTTGAGTCATACATACCAATACACACAAAAAAAAATTAAAAAACTAACCCTTCGTATTTTCCGTTGGGTCAGCGTATGGATTTCAGCTTCGCATTTTGTGCATCTCACTTCTGGCTCTCCACAAAGGTATTTTTCAAGCTGAAATACAAATTATTAAAGAACTGTTTTTTGAAAACTAATAATCGTGGTTCGCTGGTCCCCCTATCGATTCCCTGAGTGTCTACATCTGGTCCCCAGACCAATTTATCTCTCCCAAAAAATGTCCCAGACGAGTAGGCGGTTTTGGAAAGCAGATGCTCATGATGTGTTAAGAAAAAAGAGAAGAAGAAGAAGCTGACGAGAGAGAAGAACAAATTCGATTTTTGGCCGCCTGCGTGCAGAACTACATTCCGAAAGGACCCCTGGGGCGAAGCATCTCAAAGAGAGAGAGAGAGAGTCAGGGATGGACCAAAGTTCGGAGACGAACCACGCGCTTCTTTTTTTCTTGCAGCAGGAAATTTTATATAGTCTTTTTGTATAGATGTTGCAAAAAATTCTTGGAATTTTCATAGACGAGTAAAAAATGCTCTATGAATAAATGAATAAAAATGAGATGACTCCGCTCAAATATTCTATAGGATCGAAATTTCGTCTACGAAAATGTGTTTTTAAAATGATTTCAAAAAAGCCAAAAAATTCTATAAAGTTGCATAAAAAACAGTGTACACAGTGGCCTTGGACAAGGATTCCTGCTACCCTCTTGGGCGATAACTGAGCATTTTCGACGACGTTTTCAGAGATTTCAAATATTTTTCTGAATTTCTTCAGTATAATATTATGAAAATATATAGTTTTGGGAACACTTTAATGCAAAAAAAATTTTTTTTGATCAAAGTCTTGGTTGAAGTCAAAAGATTGTAGCACCACAAAAGCTTTTTGATTTCTATCAATGGTTTCCTGAAATCTCGACTCTAAATCTGTTTTTTTTTTCGTTTATTTTCAATTCTTGGAGCCAGACTAGATTCTAGGAACATTTCCTATCCCTTTCTTTCTCTCCCAGGATCTAGACCAGACATTACAAATCTATTGTCTCTTTGTGTTGCGAAATTATGATTTTGATTCGATGGTCAGTCAGCTGCGATACGATGATCAATCGTACGGTAGACTTTGAATGGTGGGAGAGGAGTGTCCTTCGATGAGTAAACAAACCCCAGACAAGAAGGAAAGGAAGAATGAAAAAAAAGAGTCTAGTCGGAGGAGAAGGGGTACTGTTCCGCCCGCGCAATTCAAATCAAACTCACCGATTGATAGAGAGTGTCGTAGCAGCAGTATCTGCAGAAGACCTTGGTGTGAATGCAGGCATTTCCAGTGAATCTTCCTAAGCGGGAGTTGCAAATTTTACATATATCGGGCTCCGGAGTGTTCTCCACGGAGTAGTAAGGTTCACATTCCTCCTGAAAATATAGTTTTGTGGTCCCTTTCTGTCTAGACACTTGAATATTGCAACATTTCTTTGGGAAAATTAGAAGGAGACGGAGAAGGAGAGAGTGTGAGAGATTCAGAAGACGTGAGATGAACACACACATAGACACACTTCAGTGAGACTGACGTCGTTTTTTGGTTGTCTACTTTTCCGGAGAAAAAAAGAGAAAAGGGAGAGAGAGAAAATGTTGCAAGTTTAAACTAGAAAGAGAGGGAGAGAGAGAGCAAATATAGACCAATTGATCTTTAGCTCGTCACAGACCATTTTTCCGTAGACAAGGACTTTTGAGGACTGTGAGAATAAGAAAAAGAAGACTGATAAGGTCACAGAAAAGAATTCGTGGCAAACAGTCCAAAGGTATTTATGACGTTCTCTAACACAGACTTTGATTGCTCATTGGTTTCTTACGGCGGTCCAGATTGTTTCAGACAAATTGACTTGAGAGAGAGAGAGAGAGAGAGAGAGAGAGAGAGAGAAAATGAGGATAAAATGTGCACCCCTTTTGTTTTTTTATCGTTTCATTCCTTGAGACGGTTAGAAGGCAGAGATTTTTCGTTTCCCTTGCGCGAAACAGTTTTCTCTACTATACCCGCTCTATCTCCTCTTATTCCCAGACACAGACACGTGACTCAAAAATGCTGTCTGGGCAGAAAAGTACGGTTGTATTTGTGTGGTGTCTGCTGCATTCAGCAGCAGGATTCCTGTTTGATGACATGTTTTACCTCTTCATCTATTTTTCTTTTTCTAGCAACCATCTTTAGAACCCGAGTTCGAAAACGAAATGTTTTGAGAAAGGAAGGAAATGTGACGAAGAAGAAGACGAAGACTGTGTTTAATTAGACAAGCTCTCCGAAGACGTGGAAAAGAAGACGTTTAAAAAAAGGAAAGATGATGAAGCAGCAGCACATCTCGTGGTATATATGCATACACAGACCAACATCAAAATGAAAAAAGGAAAATGAGAATCAAATTCTAAGAATAAGAAAACGGAATTGGATTCTAAATTGAAAGTTTTTGGATTCTATGTTCGTTGCGAGAGTGCGATCATGAAAAATTGATCAGTGCCGTTTGTTGCGGGCGGCCTGAAATACACAAACACATGTTGGAAAGAGAGAGAGTGAGAATAAGAAGTGAAAGTATAGAAAAAGGAAACAGTAGAAAGTTCGAAATATGCCATTTACTCACCATTCGATCTTTAAGAAACTGGGTAACAACGTTCTTGACTTCTGGGGTGAACATTGCTTCAAAGCTATTGGGATCAGGTTTAGTCTTAGACTGCTCCATATTATGACGGCTGCGCAGACGGTTCACTTTGTTGGAAATCCACGAAAACGCAACAGGCATTCCAGTTTGTTCAACTGAAAATCTTTCGGATTTAACGAAGCCAACAGTTTAGAATAAGGAATATCTAGCACATGACAATTCGTAAAAACAAAAACATGAAAGAATCTAGTGTGGCCTCAAAATCCGGGAGGTATTTATCAAATAACGACATGAGCCATAATAATAAAAATATGAATGTGTGTGAAAAAGGGGGAGGAGTAGACAAGAGAGCACAAAAAGGAGCTCAGCCTGGCAGACATTAAATAAACAGCTGGTTGGTAATTTTGGAAGAATGATGTTTGATGATGATAAGAGAGAAAGGAAAGGGCATATTTCGGGAATTTAAAAGGACAAAAATATCTTCTGAAACAAAAAATAGAAGAAGAAGCGCTAAAATGGAGAAGAAGATGCAAGGAGGTATGGGAGGGCATGCAGTGTGTCGTATGGGGGCGGCGCCAATGAAGGGGTCGGAACTCGATAGGGTCGCGGACACTGCAGCCGTCTAGACTCTGTCTGTGTCTCGTATTCCCGGGTCTGTCTCGTCGCTAAAGATTAATGCAGCAGCTACGAATCGGGGCGGGCGGTAGGAGAAAAGAAGAAGTAGTAGGGACGGGAAGGGGGACCTCTTCTGTAGCTGATCAGTCTACACACAGATGAAAGCGTCAGATGTCTGGAGTGGAATGTTGATAAACAAGTGGTTGTTGGTGTCAAGCACTGTCTGGCTGCCTTGTTTTTCGATCCGACAGGGCGGGCGGCCCGCCACTAAAAATGGCATCAAGTAGTAGTTTTGGAAGAAGAAGACCAAGTGTTGTTTATTGATACTAACATGGAAGTGATCATTACTGTAAAATGTATTTTTTTTTATCTGTTGTATGGTGGAAATAAGAGGTGAGAAAGTGTACAGTTGTCAAAGAAAAGTAACTGGAAGAAGACATCATAAAGTTTGAGAAGTTCCTCGTATTCGAACTTGTTGGAAGAAATATACCTCGACGGCCGGTTCAGAATACCGAAAATTTTAAGCGTTTCACTTGGACAAGGAGCCTTCGAACCCCAGTTGGGTACTTATATTGTCTGGAGTGAAAGGGTAATAGGTTTTTAAGTTGCTGAAAGTACCGTAAACACTCTAATTGAAGGCTGTAGCTTTCAACTTTAAACAAATTTATCTCCGTGTAAAATATCAAAAAGTGGCGAACTGACAAAATGTTAATCATAATATCAAAAATATTTTGTCAGTTGATCACTTTTTGATATCTTTTACAGGAAACAATGTATATGAGCTTAAAGTTTGCGGTTTGGGTGGCCTTCTGTTAGAGTGTGTACAGTATACTATCTGGAAGTGTGGCTATAACTTTCATAGATTTTAGGTTATAATTTCAAAAAAAAGTAATCAGCTTGACATCCTAACGATGACCCAGATCTTCAAAAAACAATTCTTGAGGTCTCCATGTCCCATTCACTAGCGTTTGATCACAAAATGATCAAGCTCTGATTATAAACCCTACACGCTATCCATCCCATTACTTGACTCATAAAACTTCGATTGTTCTACCGTAGGACTCTCACGAAACCTTTAATTTCAGTTCGAATTGTGGTTATTGCGTGCACAGCAGGAGAACCAACAATTGGAAAATCAAGAATATATATGTTTCATTTTGGGCATAGTTGGTCACACATCAACAATACAATGATAAGGAAAATGGCGACGAAATGAAATGGAGGAGAAGCAGCATAATTGTAGGAAATATGTAGTGTTAGGCAACTACCGTATTCTTGCTAATAAGGACAACTTCTCAATATGCCTTCTGAAGTTGTGGTGATTGGCTTGGTTAGCTTTGAATCTGACGGCTAACGACTACGTAACTAGTCAGAAGACAACAATTTTTCGTCGTGACAAAAAGACATAGTAAAATCGAAAATACATTTTACCCTCACAATCAGATATTACAAGACAAGCCGTTTACATATTCTCACTAATCTCGTGTGGCGAGACGACGCTTCACGGCTCAATGAGATCAAAAATAAAGACTGAAATCATAGCACAAAATACAAGATAAGGAGTTTCGTGATATTCTCAAATCTTCGTCTATTCTAATACTTTGGAAAAAGGATACTGTAGTGTTCACTCGACCTTAAAAAATAAACATTTTAATCTGTCTGAGAAACTATGTCTAGTGAAAGTGACGACTTCATATTCTCACCAGTCTTAAAACATCAAGGGGCTTGCAGAGCCGATGCTCTTAAAAAACCCATTCGAAAAAGATAAACTGCAAAAAATTTGGAAGTATAAGCTTTAGAAGCCTCTGTATCTACCATCCGGTTACTGTAGGTACCCCTTCCAATAGATACCCACCCTGTATGTGCAATTTGAGCTCAATTTTCTCAGTTTCTATGAAAGACATCAAAAAAATAGTCAACTGATAAATTGGTTATCATAGTATAGCCAATATTTTATCAGTTGACAGATTTTTGATATCTTTGATATGAAGCGAGATAAACGAGCTCAAAGTGAACGTATAGGGTGAGCAGCAAATACAGTTTTTCTTTCGAAAAAATCCAATAAGAAATATGCAAATGTTTGAAAATTCGATTTCTGTCCAAACACAGAACTCTCAATGACTTCTCGATTCATTCTTTCATCATAATTTCTTGTGCTGAAAACGTTTCAGACATGCAACTTCTCTCCCGACGGCTCAAATGTGAGACGGCGGAAGAGTGGCGGATTCTAATTGTCTGAGCCCTATTTCAGATGACCAAAAACTACTAAATGTACTTTTTTTCTATTTCTGTAGTCTTGTTCTCGAAAAAACACTTTTTTTTTGGAGAAAGGAAGTGGAACAAAAAAGAAAACAAAGGGGAAAAGAAATGGAAGATTCGGTAGGAAAAGTAGTATGGAAGGAAAAAAAAGAAGAAAAAAGGGGAGGAAAACTAGAAGAACAAACCCGTCCCCCGTCTAGACTGCATCTGGAGTCTCTGCAGACAGGATGAGATGATCACAGAACTGAAAACAACTGCTTTCTCGTTCTCTATTTGAGTGATTTTCAGAGCGAGAGATGTCTAGACACTGTCTGTCGGGAACTTTTTCAACTTGAAGGGGTCCAGAAGCACAAAATATTCAGTACGAATAAATTGTCTGCTACGTAGACTGGAACAACAACTGGAATACAAAACACGACAGACTCTCTAGAAACTACGAATTCGCGAATTTCATTCTCTTCTTGATGTATACCGTAGTCGTTTTTTGTGTCGTAGACAGAAAGTCCCAGACAGAAAAATATTGACTGTGTAGCTACTATCGGAGTTCCGGTTTCACATCATAAATATCAATATTCAAGTCTCACGTCATTCAAACTGTCTAATAGTGAGTCGAGAGTTGGGCGTCTCAAACTGTCTATTTTTCCTAAACAGCCTGCACTTTTTGACATCAGATATCAATTTCCGGAATCGGAGACAACCTTGGTGTGGTGTCTACAGCGAAACATTTGTTCAATGAGGCAGACAAGGAATTGAAAGTGACATTTGGAATCTGTAACGATGATGAGGGGAGATAGAGCAATGCAAGATGTACTTTGAAAGGGAAATTGGAATTTTGAACAGCGTTCTCTGAGGATTCATTCGCGAATTAGAATTACGGGCATCGCATTTGAGCGCATTCAGACGATGTTCCAAAAAAACTCTTTTCTAGTCCATAGCTCCGATTTTTCGTACCAGAATATTAATGGCTGACGAGAAAGGCGCGTAAAGGAAAAATCATGGGTAAACAATGAAACAACCTTTAAAAAAATTTTTGAAGCGAAATTTGAAATCGGAATCCGACAACAAAAATCGAAAGTTACAAAAAATACTACGGTATTCGAACACACAAGTACATCTGAATGCTTTCAGACAAGGCTGTGCCACGGCCGATTGAATTATTGAAATGACTTTTTTATGTCTACACTTTCAGTCAGACAGAGTTCAACAGAATATATAGAGAGACATCTGTTTTTAGAAGTTTTTTTGATCTTTTAGAATCTGCCGGAAATGATCAAGAAGATCTTCGGGATTTGGCCAAGACA